TGTTTTCTTTCGTATTAAAATGTGTTTTTCCAATTTAAAAAAAAATTCTTTACGCTCGTTTGAAACTTTGCCTGAAGTATATTTGTCATTATATATAATACCTAGGCAATGTAAATAATGTCTATGGAAAAGTATGTAACTTGATCACGAAAATAAAATATTTCATACTTTGCTTAAAACCGCCAGACATTCTATAGAATGCCTAGGCATTCTATACAATGCCTGCATTTCACACATTGCCGGTAACATATATAACAAATCCTCTGCAAGAACTGTTCCCAGCTGCATGATAACTTAGTCGTCCAATATTTCCAAAACTGAAATTTCCTTAAGTCAAAGGGGAAGGTAAATAGTTTTGTGGTAAAAAAAAAATAAGGGAATGGTATTATTAAAAAAAAAGAGGGGGGGTGGGATCCTAGGTTTATTTAAATCATTCTTTTGTGAAATAAATTTTCATTAATCATTATTTTGCACATACATGTTGTTATAGTGAAAGGTGAATATTAATGGGGGGGGGGGAAGCCTTAGAGAATGGTCACATTTGCTTTACAATTTTTGAAATTATTATTTAATTCTTTTTAATTATGTACAAATAGGTATTTATAAAATATAAATACTATGATGATGTTGATATTTATTTAATATCTTTTAACAATCATTTTATAGCCTAATATATGACAATATATATTTTCCAGTTTTAAACAAGTTATTGACCTTTACGTCAAGACTGTACAATTCTTTTGATTACAATTATATAACAAGTATTATAGTTTGGGTGTGTTGGTGTGTGTGAGTCACTGGCTTGGGTAAATTGTATGAGAGTCAGGTAAACTGCCTTGGGTAAATTGTATGAAAGTCTTGCACTGTCTTGGGTAAATTGTATGAGAGTCTGGTTCACTGCCATGTGTAAATTGTATGAGAGTCTAGTTCACTGCCATGTGTAAATTGTATGAGAGTCTAGTTCACGGCCATGTGTAAATTGTATGAGAGTCTAGTTCACTGCCATGTGTAAATTGTATGAGAGTCTGGTTCACTGCCATGTGTAAATTATATGAGAGTCAGGCTCAAGAGACAACTCAGTTCGGTATGTCCCCTTGTGGACGAAGAACAATATCTAAGTGAACTGTTAACCGATTCTTTCCAGGCCTAGTTCATCGGGTGTTAGAGGGGGGAGGGATCTATAAGTTGTGGATATGGAACATTCTCGATAACGTCTTGATAGTTTTCTATAACCATCACCACCTGGCTTTGTATCCAGGACGGCTAGCAATCTTGTAGGTGTCAACGAGATGAGTCTACGCTGAGAATATCGTGTGCGTGCTCACAACATCTTGTAGGTGTCAACGAGATGAGTCTACGCTGAGAATATCGTGTGCGTGCTCACAACATCTTGTAGGTGTCAACGAGATGAGTCTACGCTGAGGATATCGTGTGCGTGCTCACAACATCTTGTATGCAAATATCAGAAGTGGGGCGGATTTCAAGATTAATATTGGAAGTAGGTCACGTCTAAGGTGGGAATTACGAAACACGTTGAGTGGGATTTCAGAAACTGTAAACTTTCGTGTGGTGTGTCAATAAAAAGATCAAAACAGAAAAAGGTCTGGAGATGACAGCATTTATTTGTGGTATATTTATATTGACATTTGCATTACCGCCTCAATGGAAGACATAAAATAAACAAGGTTGCATAATTGAGTAATGGAAGATATCCCCCCATAAAGTAAGTGGTTCTGTTGTCCGAGGAAACATCCAAGTAACCCTAGTCAACTGCTGCTCTGTGTGGTGGTAACCTTAGCCAACTGCTGCTCTGTGTGGTGGGTGATGTGCCTGGTTTAGGTGTGACTAGAATAGGTGTGTCCGTTGGGGATCTGTTAGAACGGGGGGAGGGGGGATGTCTGACGAAAACATGAGTGGAGGTTGTGTGGTGGTTTTGTTTGTGCCAGGTGTACGTGTGTGTCTGATGTTTGTCTGTGGTGTGTCTGATGTTTGTCTATGGTGTTTCTGATGTCTGTCTGTGGTGTGTCTGATGTCTGTCTGTGGTGTGTCTGATGTCTGTCTGTGGTGTGTCTGATGTCTGTCTGTGGTGTGTCTGATGTTTGTCAGTGAAATGCTTGTATGGTGAGTGTTTCTAGTGGGTGGTTGTGTTTTGTGTGTGTGTGCCTGTTGGATGTGTTTGGTGTGCATATGGTTTGTTTGTGGTGTGTGTCTGCTGAGTGTATGTCTGGTTGATGTGTTTGTGTCTGTTGGCATGTTTCTGGTGGTTTTTGGTGTCTGATGTGTGTCTGTTGTGTGTGTGTCTGGTGGATGCGTGTCTGATGGATGTGTGTCTAATTATGATGCTTCCTTTTAGTATGAGTCTAATGTGTACTTATTTAAAAGGGTTTTACCCAGTTGGGGTAAGGCCGATGCGGAGTGTCTGATAGTGGTGTGTCTTATGGGGTGTGTGGTCTGATGGGGGTGTGGTCTGATGGGGGTGTGGTCTGATGGGGGTTTGGTCTGATGGGGGTGTGGTCTGATGGGGGTGGATGTATGCAGGTTGTATAGTAAGGGTGATTCTGGTGGGTGCGTGTATGGTGTCGAAGTATCTAATGGGTGTGTGTGTCTTGAGGGTGGTGTCTCTGATGAGGGATGTGTGTGCACGTTGTGACAAGAATGTGTCTAGTGGAATGTGTCTAGTGGGGCGTGTCTCGTGGGTGTGTCTAGTGGGATGTGTCTAGTGGGATGTGTCTAGTGGGATGTGTCTAGTGGGATGTGTCTAGTGGGATGTGTCTAGTGGGATGTGTCTAGTGGGGCGTGTCTCGTGGGTGTGTCTAGTGGGATGTGTCTAGTGGGATGTTTCTAGTGAGATGTGTCTAGTGAGATGTGTCTTGTGGGGCGTGTATCTTGCAGGGGTTTTCTGAAATAAGTTAAGTCTAGTATGGGTCTGTATGGTTGGGTAGTGTATATCGGGTGTATCTAGTGTTACTACTGGTATTAGTATGTTGTGTATGTTGGGTGTATCTAGTGTCACTACTGGTAACAATATGTTCATTACTTCTGAAATTGAGTTAGATCCAATCTTTATTAGGAACGGTCATTGTAATGGGGAATTATTCAATCAATCTAAATCAGGAGAGAAATAATAAATACATTTATTTTTAAAGAAAGAGAGTGTGAGAATGAGGAAGAGAGACATAGAGGGGGGGGGAGAGACATAGAGGGAGGGAGAGAGACATAGAGGGAGGGAGAGAGACATAGAGGGAGGGAGAGAGACATAGAGGGAGGGAGAGAGACATAGAGGGGGGGAGAGAGAGAGAGAGGGGGGGAGAGAGACATAGAGGG